ACATCAATCCAATTAATTCGGACTATAATAACTATGCAACTGAACAAATTTGTATCGAAATCGCGAATAGTTCCAAAAAAATCGGGAGATGAGTAAGATTTGAAATTATCATACGAAGTAACATGAACGTCTCGGACTTCGCGGCCATGGGATTTATAGGTCTTGATTAGGATTCCACGGTGAGGGTTCCAGAGACGGATGGTTCGATCCTTGCCGCAGGTAAGAGCGTAGTTACCATCGCCGTTAAACCTCGCCGCTAGAACCGCTCCTTCGTGGCCTTTAAGCACGTGTGCCTCTTTCGTCGGAAGCTCCGTCGTCGCGCTCATCTCTTTTTCTCGCCTGAAACTTACACAGTGACTTTTATGTCACGACCGTGTCCCGATTTTTAATTTTTGCCCGAAAATGTTTTTGGATGAACATGAAAAATGAAACAGAAATTTTTTTTATTTAAAAGATATTTAAATAGATTGGGCTTATATAACGTTTCCTCTTCAACGCTAAACGTGCCCATCAAACCCAATTAACCCATCGAAAACCCTAATCATCCACTATATAAAGGGAGAGGATGTAAGACTTAAAGACCAAGAGTGCAGTTGAGGCGAAGCCTGACCATTTTACTTTTCACCTTGTAAACCCTAGCTGCCCTTGGAATTGAACTTCACTGCCGGGTTGAGAGACGATTTTCCGACGAACCGTCACGAACTGTGCGACGATATACATATCTGTGGAAAGGTCCGAGTCTCAACTTTCCAGAAAATCTAATAACGTCTCGATCCAAGTTTTGTGGTGAAAGTTATGGCATGTTCTTTCCAATTGTCGCGATATGTCTTATTCTAAAAAAACCGCAGATTTGACCAGTTTCGGTGAGGAATAAAAACCAAGGACCAAATCCATTCGGATCGATATGAATATTAGTAAGGACTTTCCTGACTCTCTTATTTACCCAAGGCAAAAAGCGGTTTGTCATTGGAAGTTGTGATATGAAAGTTATGGATGTTTTCTCGTAATTGTTATTTGCTGTGAGAGTTTCCGACCAGTCAGAGGAGAATTTACGCTGCAATTTCGTCAATGATCGGATGAAAATTATATTTGGTAACCAGATTCTTAACTCTCTGATCTAGTAATATTTGAAAGAAATTTGTCATTCGGTGTTATGGAATGAATGTTATGGATGTTTTACTTGGACTGATCTGTACAGAGTGAGTATGCAACCAGCCGACTTCGCATACGTTTTCCGGCCAAGTCTAGAAGAACTAGATGTTGATATAGGCGTCGTTAGAAAGATCACGGATTCTAGTTTTTGTAGAAGCTTTTGGTTCTAAATTACGAGGTATGATCTGCTCGTAATTCGTATTTCAATATTGAGAAACATCACTGTTTYWRAAAYTGKAATTCTTATTTTYATATCCGATTAGARAATTTGTGAGCTRATTTTCTRTCGTTCTGAAAGGACCCAGAAGACGATATGGATATCATTGGAAAGCTCCGAGTCATGGCTTTCTAGAGGCACCAAGTTTGTCTTGATCTGAGGTACGAGTAAGAAGTTATAGATGTTTTCTTCTGACTGGTATAATTTGACCGAACTGAATAAACATTTTAGGAAGTTTAATAATGGAATGTTAAACATGGGTTCCTAATCGCAGATTCGCAGTAGCTCATTC